TATATATATATATTAAAGATTTTATTTATTTGTCAGAGAGAGCACACACGCACAGGCGGGGGGGAATGGCAGGCAGAGGGAGAAGCAGGCTCCCCGATCCCAGGACGCTGGGATCATGACCTGAGCCGAAGGCTTAACCGGATGTCCCTCAGTAAACATTTTTTTGAACGAGCTGATGAATGTACTATCCCACCTGTGGATGTGCACAGTTATTTATTGAGGCAATACCCTATATTGGAGGGTCTTAACATTCTGGATTTTTATGGAGCTCCAACTGGTATTTCACTTTAGCAAGGTGACTTGGTTAACTATAAGTTATAGAATTAGGATTTTAGCTTGCCTTTTTCATTAATTATAGGCATATAAAGTTTGATACTTAACAGTCTGATATGCTTGAGAAATGAGTTGTGGATAGCCAAGTTTTCTAGATGGCTAAGAATTCATCCTGTTAGACATAACCACTTTTTTCATTTATTCAACAGTGTTTATTGAATGCTTGCTCTGTGAAGATGCTGTTTGAGGCACCAAGGGTACAGAAATGAGTGAAACAGATGCACATCCATGCCTTCATGATAGTTTCATTTCATTTAAATGGAGGTCTTTTTATAAAGATAGACTTTTACCTTCTTAAATAGTTTCCTGGACTTTCTACCTTTTGCTGATTCATATTCATCATTGTGATGATCATGTGTTACGTTTTTCTATAATTGCAAGTAAGTCGTATATGGAGGTCTTACTAGTATATGGAGCTGGGGGACAGCACTGGAATGTTCATTGGAAAATCTGGCTTGTAGTCCTTGTTTCCCTTGTCAGTGGTACTGGGATTGGACCTCTCTGAGTATCGCTTTCCACTTCTAGAAATAGCCGTAGTACCAAATGATATGTCTGCTTCCTGAAGTGTGAGTCTTTGTGAAGATGAGTTAATGTCTTATGTGGCTGGGTGGTGGTCATTGTAAAGCAAATAGGAGTTAGCTTCATACTAAGTGGCCCTAGTTTGCTGTGCTCTTTGAGGGGCTTTATTTTTGTATGAAAAAATGGTAGTTGTTATGTGTTGATTGTGTTTTAGAAGGTACAGTTTTGGAGCTCCATAGCATTTAGAACAGATAACTTACATTCCCATTACATTATCCGACCTTTCAGGAAAATAAAAAATAATTCCAAGTACGCTCTTACTTTTTGGAAAGAATGATACTGGGAAGCAATCACTCATTTTTCAGCCTTTGCATGTTACAAAACAAGGCTTTGGTGTGGTAAACAGGAAAAAGGAAGTTTCGACTAGAAAGAAAAATGGTGTGTATCATCTAAAATAGTTTCTGAAGAAATTTGGAATATGTTTGGAATTCTTTGAAATAGTCTTGATGTATATGGTGAATCCCAAGGATAAACTATTTAGTAATTACTCCTTTTAGATTAAATATGTATATATGTGGGATCAGATTCAGAATCAAGGAATCTTTATTGAAGTCTTAATAGCCACTTTTCAGTGAGGGCTAGGCAGTGTGCTTTAGTTAGTACTTTTTAAGTATTTTTTTTTTTTTAACTTTTTAGGTTTTGATTTAAATTCCAGCTAGTTTACACACAGTACAGTATTAGTTTCAGGTATAGAATCCAGTGTTTCATCACTTCCCTACAATACCCAGCTCATCACAAATGCCCTCCTTAATCCCCGTCACCCATCTGGTCCATCCCCCCACCCATCTCCCTCCATCAACCCTCAGTTTGTTCTCTCTATTGTTAAGAGTCTCTTATGGTTTGTTTCCCTCTCTTTTTTCCCCCTCCCCCTATGTTCATCTGTTTTGTTTCTTAAGTTCCTCATTTCAGTGAAGTCATATGATATTTGTCTTTCTCTAATTTACTTAGCATAATACACTGTAGCTCCATCCACATTGTTGCAAATGGCAAGATTTCATTCTTTTGGATGGCTGAGTAATATTCCTGTGTGTGTGTGTGTGTATAACATCTTTATCCATTCATCAGTCGATAGACATTTGGGCTCTCTCCATAGTTTGGCTATTGTAGATAATGCTGCTATAAACATCAGGGTGCATGTATTCCTTTGAATCAGTGTTCTTGTATCCTTGGGGTAAATACCTAGTAGTGCAATTGCTGGGTTGTAGGGTAGTTCATTTTTTTTTTAACTTTTTGAGGAGGCTCCATACCGTTTTCCAGAGTGGCTGCACCAGTTTGCATTCCCATCAATGGTGCAAGAGGGTTCCCCTTATCTTTTTTTTTTTTTTTAATCAGATGAAAAAACTGAGGCTTAGGATTTTAGGTAACCAGCCTATGACTCTAGTTTCTCAGCTATAGACCTGGGAGTCATAGCTGGGTCTTCATCTCAGCATTATTTTTTTAGGTTCATCACATCCTCACAACTTTGTCTCAACTTTGCAAAAGTGAGAACTGAGACTTTATCCAGGACACGCAAATCCTGTGAGATCCCTTTGTTTGGAGGCTAAGTCTCCTGACTCTGAGCCTATCTCATGCTTTGTGATTGAATCCCTAACTCTTTGCCAATACTTTGGAGCAGTTCCTGAAGCTCTGAGTCCAGCTTCCAGCCCTCACAGTCTCTCTTCTTTTCTGGTCTGTAACATAGTGCTGTGGCTCTTGCAGTGTGGTATGAAACCGGGGTCCAGAGTGACATCAGGGCCTTACCAATGCATAGAAAGTGAAATTCTACTGAGAAGACTCGCTCTGTAGGGTGAAATTCTGTGAAAGTGACAACTTAACGGTGAACTTGTTTTCCTTATGAATAGCTTTAATGTAAAAATTCTTTTGTAATATAATCTCTCCGGGACGTTGTTATTTTTCTTCTTAGGTCATTGCTAGAATCGTGGATGGAAGCAGATTCAACGAGTTCAAAGCCCTATATGGAGACACATTAGTTACAGGTATAAAGGCAAAGAATTAAAAATATGAACTTTTTTTTAAGATTTTATTTTATTTTATTTAAAGATTTTATTTATTTATTTGATAGAGAGAGACACAGTGAGAGAGGGAACACAAGCAGGGGGAGTGGGAGAGGGAGAAGCAGGCTTTCCGCTGATCAAGGAGGCCGATGCAGGGCTCGATCCCAGGACCCTGGGATCATGACCTGAGCCGAAGGCAGATGCTAAACAACTGAGCCACCCAGGTGCCCAAAGATTTTATTTTTAAGTAATCTCTGCACCTGATGTTGGGCTTGACCTCACCACCCTGAGATCAAAGTCCTATGTTCTCCCGCCTGAGCCATTGAGGCATCCTTGAACATTTTCTGTTGCTTTGAAAATAAGTGATCTCTTGTCTCAAGGTATTGATGTACTTGGTGTGAGCTTTGTCATTTAGAGTGGTACAAGTGTGTGGGTCTGTATTCAAAAGGAGTTGTTTTATGAAGGTCATGTGTAGCTGAATGGCTTCATAGGTCCTGAGTTTACAATGATGACAGCTAGGTGCTATTGGATAGGACCTTGTCTGAGACTTGGTGGTCTTCACTGTATAAAAAACTTCTTATTGGGGCACCTGGGTGGCTCAGTCAGTTCAGCATCCAATTCTTGATTTTGGCTCAGGTCATGATCTCAGGGTTGTGGGATCGAGCCCCATGTCAGGCTCTGCACTGGGCATGGAGCCTGCTTAAGATTCTCTCCCTCCCTCTCTATCTGCCCCTCACCCCACTTCTCTCTCCCTCTCTTAAAAAACAAAAAGCTTCTTACCAAAGCAAAGTTAGCAGAAATATTTGTAGTTCTTTTTGTTTCTCTGGATAATTTGTAATAATTTTGAAAATTTCAGCACTGTTTCCTTGGTTCTTTAGTCTTTAATTCTGCTAGCAGGTTTTTGTTTTTTTTTTTTTCAAGTATTACCGCTTATTTAATAGTGTTTATCTATTTCTTAACATTAAGTAAATCAGTGATAAATGTATATTATGCAATACACATTGTGCCATTTCTCCCTACCCTGTGTTATTAACAAAATCAATTAAGAAAACCAAAACAACTATTAAAACTGAAATAAGGCTATCAACATCACAGATGCATGTCTGAGTAGGTCAACAGCATTTCCCCCTTAACATGAAGGTATTTTCATCAAAAATGCTTCTTATCTTTAGGCTAGTATTACTTTAGCAGCAGCTGGTCTTCAGGACAAGTAGATCAGAAGTTTCAAGTGAAAATGACACTGAATTACTCTGAGAAAACATCAATCCACATTACTAATAAAAGATGCAAACTGCTGGTGTCACCGTAACATAAAAATTGTGTTTTCCCTTTCAACATGTGATTTATTTCATTTATGTGATGACAATACTTTGGAGTTCTCATGGCACACCAATGTCTACTAGCAGGTTTTATATGATGTTGAGCTTCCTAGAAGGACGTTTAAGTAAGTTACACCTTCTCGTAGCCTCTGTGTAGGTCTAACATCGAATCATGCAAACCACTAGATTGAGAATACAGGACAGAAAACCAGATCTGAAAAAAAACAAAATAAGGCTGTTTATAGAAGTTCATTCATTCATCTGAAATGTTGAGTTTGTAGGCTTTTGAAGAAAAGTATTTGAAACATAGATGCTAGACCCATAATAATCTATCTTGCCAAATGACAGAATTAATTCTGTGAATTTTATTTGGTCTTATGAAAGCTAGAAAATGTAGTAAGTAACCTGGAGACAACATATCAGAGTAAAAAAAGATATAACTCACTACAAAAATCCAAATTGCAAATATACGTTGAGGCTTAAGGATAAATCACAACACTTTTCTCCTGCTTTGATTTATGAGCAACAAAAGGGTTCATAGTGGGAGTGGAATTTATGTTTTTGTATTGAGCTGTTTAAGTGATTAAGAGCTTTTTATTTGATATATATTCAGGATTTGTGACCAAATAGTTCAGGATGTAACCTCTTGTGCAGCAGTTTGAAACAAGTCAGAGCTGTTTCTCCTTCTCTCCCCAAAGATAGATGAGCTGTCTTGGTCATCTGATTTTATGAATTTGCCCCTTACTTGCTGAAAGACTTGTGGTACCTTTATCCCCTGGAATACTAAGGATATATGTAGTTCCTCTATCTCTTCTTGGCTGTACCGGAATTCACATGAGATTGGGGGGCGAGAAGGGGTGTGAGAAGAAGAAGAGGGGCATGGGGAGTGGTGAGGTGAGGAGGTACTGGGGGGGGGGAGGACAGATTTTTCTGAGGATCAGGTATCTCTGGCAGCTCTGAAGAGTTTCCTCCTGCCTCTGTACTTGCCTTAGATAGGCCCTAGTAGTTTCTTGGACATTTTGCTTTCCTGTTTGGCCCGAAGGAATTTGGTGAAGACACCTCCTCTGTGTCCCTGGTATACTGGGGCGTGTGCCCTACTTAGCAGGTCCTGTGCCCGGAGATCCCAGGCCAGGCTAAGGTTGAAAGTCTAAATAGCTCATGGGACACTATACCTTAGGGGCAGCACCGCACTGCCGAGAGATATGCAAGATTCCTAGCTGTTTTTGCGGGATGAGGCTGAACTCTGAGTGGATTGCTAGACCTCTGGGGAAGGTTACCCCTCTGCATTGCCTCCGCAAGTGGCAGTGCCATTTAAGATGGACAGCACAGGCTTTGGGCCGGGGTTTTAGGACTGAAAGACCAAGAAAACCAAGACAAGGCCAGAGTAAAGAAAGAAAACAAATTTTTAACAGTTCAGTGTTCTGGTGTATCCGTAGGTGGACATTCTCTCTTATCCATTAATTTTTCTTCAACAATTTTTCAAGTACCTGCCTTGTGTCACATAACCAGAGACGTCTCAGCCACGGCCTGTGCGTCTTGAGCTTGAAGACAGCCTGGTTTTGGGTACTTGGGTCGCGTACTTTCTTTGACCCACTTCAACAAGCACAGTTTGTTGACTCTTGGGTGCCAAGTCTTTGACACCTATTTAGAGTCTGAAGTAGGCTTGTTGAAGTTCACTCTTGGGAAGCTTTCTCTAGCCAAGTTTTTCAGGTTTACAAAAACCTCCTGAAGTCACCTCAGGTGTCTCCCTCACATACTGTTACCCTCCTTTTCCTTCCCCTTCCTTCTCCCTTACTGTGTGTATGGACAGGGGGTGTCTGCAGTGGGAGTGGGAATGGTGGTGAGAGTCCATCTTCTAAGCTTAGCTGCGTTTGTTCCTGGAAACTCACGACCCCCGGGCTGGACTGTGTTCCTGCTTTGGAAAGCAAGGCTGCCTTTGCTGAGTTTGTGCCCTTTACCTTGAGGGCCTGTCATCGCCACAGGCATTTTCAGGCAAGCTAGTCACCTGAAACCAATGGAGAGCTCCAAACATGGGCCTTTTAAAGGGTTCTCTCTCAGTGCTTCTTTCCATTTCAGAAGATCCTCTGTCTGGTACCTAGTGGGCACTCGGACATACATTACACGAACGAATGGGTAACACCCTAACCTCATCATCTAACCAAACCAACCAGACGAGTGACAACTTTACACGGAGCACTCTCAGGGAAGCAAAACACCCAGACTCCAATACCTTAGAAATAAAACACTGTGACACAAGCTGTTCTGTACCCTGGACAAAATCTCTACATTTTAAACTTTGATTTGAAATTAAGGAATGTATAACTATGTCTGTTAGCTATGAATTAAAAGCCCTCTGAAATACATAAATCTTTTTTCAATTTTCTTTTGAGGATTTGCTAGAATATTTGGATACCCTATAGGTATCGTTGGAAATAATGGAGTTCTCTTTTCTGAATCTGCAAAAAAGGCAAGTGGTGTTAAACATGTTTCAAAATTTTCTGTTTTAATGTAAACATAATTTGCTTTGAAGGTCAAGTAATGAATGAAATTTTATTACATAAAACCTTTAAAATATTTAAAAGCTTTAAAATATTTAACCAGATGCCTTAGTAGGCAGAACACTATGTGTACGTGCATGTGAACGTGTGTGTGTGTGTGTGTGTGTGTGTGTGTTAGTGCTTGAACAGTTTTTATGGAGGTTTACATTAACCTGTTTTATCTAGAGCACTATTTTTATTTATTTTTTTAAGGTTTTACTTATTTATTTGTCAGAGAGAGAGAGCGTGAGCACAAGCAGGGGGAGCAGTAGGTAGAGGGAGAAGCAGGCTCCCTGCTGAGCAGGGAGCCCGATGTGGGACTCGATCCCAGGACCCTG